TTCAATTCCGTTTAGTGACTTTTTTAAACTTCGAGTATCAAAGACTGATCAGGATAAAGGCGTGCGAAACCTGGAACTAACAAGCAAAAAAGAACAATGCAACGAGAGCAGTATCCTGAGATTTTTTTACTTTGGATTGTAACCTGACGCCTCTCATTTGAATGTGCAAAGTTGTGCGCGTTTCTAAAGACACGGAAGTGGTGCGGACAGAGAATTAATCGCCATCCAATCTGCGATCTGCGGCTTTGCACGCCATAGCACCGAGCAAATTACCATTACATCAGCCTCCGCCAGTTTCAACACGTACCAAATTCCGATCGATGGATCATAAAAATCATCAGAGAGGAGCCCTCCATTCTTGTTTGGCAACTTCAAAGGCGGCATATCGATCTTTGGCGCTCTCTATCATTAAACTTTGCGCTTGCCTAATGAGATTGCTTGATTCAATTTCAATCTCTCCGCTAATTAATTACTAATTAAACCACCATGCTAATCGAAAGGGACCACCAAACTCGCGTATTGAAAGTTTGCCTCTGTTGGTCCGCAAAACCGCAAACTACTTCTTTTAATTAATGCAACACAAAAAGCCTTGTTTTGATTTATGGGATCCGAGATTTAGAATGTGGAACGCGAAAGTTGCAGTGCGTTACTACAATTTCGCCCTTTTGTGAAAATTCGAAAAGAAATTTCGATTGAGTTCTAAAAGGTTGCAAATTTTCGCTAATGAGGACTTGATGCCCAGAGCGCGCCCTTTGCCATTATTCACCTCGTTTTTTTTAATTACCGGTTTTAATTACTTTTCGCCAAGGAGAAAGTTCTGCAGGAGAGGGCCATAAACAATGGAGTTGGTGGAGTTAATTTTAATTGATTGATTATTGGTCGCAATTGGTGTAAAAGGGCTTGACGACGCGCGCGGGTTTAAGAAGAGGTGCTGAAAATAATCAGTCACGCTTTTGTTCCGACACCTGATGACCCAGATCGCGCGCCAAAATCTCTTCATCAAACGAAATTGAGACGGGTACTTTCGGTTTTTAATTGAATTTCGCTGTACCGGACGAGAGGGGCAATAAATTCACGTCGAGGACTTTTTATTTTCGACCGCAATCCTTTTTATTTGGCTCTGGGATGAAAAATGGCCCGACCGGCGAGACTTATATACATTTATTTTTCAGCCTCTGCGCCGAAGACGCGAAGCAGGACGACGTGAAAACACGTGTTGATAGTGTTTAATATAGCACCGCTTCATTTGCCATCATGGTTAAACGCTCTGTCACATTCTGGTTGCTTTAGCAGAGAAAGCAGACGTCGCGATTCCATATTGAGGTTTGCGATCCGGATTATCTAAATTGATTATACACCTTTGCGAATAATAAAATTATTGTTCGCCAGAGGGACAAACACCATAAATCTCATCAATTAAAAAAAAGCAGTTCTTTCTCGTGATTTATTTGATTGAGAAAAAGAATAAAAGCGAAACGGATGTTTGGCTATTTTCTGGTTAATCAACCTTAAGCAATTAAACATATTACAGAGCGTTTCTTTTCGCCAAAACACTTTCATCGCCGGTCCAATTTATTCATTTCTGCTCCTCGTCCGTTTATTCAAATTATCTCTGCTGATGAAATATAGGCTGGTGAAATTAAAAGCGAGAGAGACGGAGAGGCCAAAAGCAGACGTGCGAGTTTACAACTTAATGAAAGATGGACTGGTGTGATTTTGCCTGCTCTCGGACAAACAAGAGTACATGTGAAAGCTACTTACTCTCAAAAGATGATTGCTCCACATTTTTTATAATCATTACCAGCTCGATACGTTATAAATTATTCTCTCTCTGACACGCGGCCATCTGCTACTGAAGTCCTGGCACTCGCACACAATGATACACTTTTTCAAACGCACCACAGCAGAAATTAATTTCTCCCGGGAGATATCTTGTGTTTGTTTTGCGTTTATTTTCACTCTCGCGGTCAATGAAGCGCGACGAACTCGGGGATAATTACCAGTCCTTAAACGCCGATTGACATCGCTGTAATTGGTAAATTTGAGTGCAATTATTATTTGAAAGAGAGCTTTCTCCGCAGATGAAAATGGCGTGCGCATGTGAATGTGAAATTGGAAAATGATTATATTGCTGCGACAGAGAGGAAAACTGATCATATAAGCATTTAAATGTATGAATTTCGAGTCGTGATTCATTTCGAAAGGCAAGGTCGAAATTGGAGCGGACGATTAGCTGAGCAGGAAAACAAAAAACAACAATCAGCTGGGAAAGGAAAAGGATTTCCCCAGCCTGGGAATATTTTCGCACATAGAAAGAATTTTGCAAATAATCTCCTGGTGATATGAACTTCAAAGAAAGTTCGCGACACTTTTCAAAAGAAGTGACTCAGCAAAAAAAAGAGAGGCGCCAGTAAAAAAAGAGATAAATGTAATTTATTAAAAGTCCATCAACGACCGTTGTATATCTTAAAGCGAGATGTGGGCCAATTTATCTGAACATGTTTATATTATTTCGTTTCGAGTGAAGGGCAGGGTCAGTTTTGCGCTAATAAAAAATCGCTGCTTCTGCGGTGTGTCCAGGTGAGTGGCCTGTCTTCTCTCTCGTCCAAAGAGACCGCGCGCGTCTCAAGAAATCGGCTTATTACTTTATATGTAGCATGAAATGCGAGTGCTTTCACGATTTCCTCTGCTTAATTTGACACCTGAATGGCCCATTGTTGGTATCACTTTTCGAACGCGCCATGAAAGCGACTGCTCTGATCACTCATTATTTAGTGTGACCTGCCACATTTTTCTCGCAACTACACGGAATTCCGCGCAAAATCGAGAATGGCCCCTGCTTTTCACGCACTTGACACTCGGAATGAAACAACTCAGCTAACTGATTTCTCTTGTTGAGGAAATTTTTATGTTTTTCAATGACGCGTGACGGCCGTCTAGGGACTTCTTATATACATGAATTATTTCCAGATCTCTTCGAAAAAAGTGAAGGTGCTTTCGTTACGCGTGGGTTGCGGCACTTTTCAGCAAAACGCACTTTTTCTCACCAAAAACTTCGAGATTAAAAGTGTTGCAAACATGCGGGCGAATATAATTTCACCGAGCGCATAGCGGGTGGCGGCCAAAACCAGCGGAAGCAAATCTGGGCCGATTCGGGGTCATGCCCTAATGCACTGCACTTGTAATTCGGCGGATACGCTGGCTGGTGAACCGATTTTTGACTGATGTATTCGCTCGAATTATACACGGTGTGAGAGAAACAAACTCTCATTTAACTGTATTTTTTGTAAAAACGCGCACAGGTCTCCGGCGGCGGCGTCGAGTGTGTGTCGCGAAATAAATTCATTATTTATGAAGTTGTTAGACCGCAATGCGCGCGCCTTGACTGCTCCTAGTATTCATTTGCTACAAAATTGATATTCAAACCGTGACCGGCGAAAATGATAAATGTCTGTTTGCTAATTTCGCATTCAGCCGACGACCAAATTGCAAATATTATGTCAACTCTTAATTGAGACACCCCGCGGGGGATTAATTTATCGCGTTGGGATTTTTTAAAAATATCGTTTTAGGTTCTACTTGAAAACGTGTAATTAATTGTATGAAAAGAGGCAGCAGCTTTCCGCACACTGAACGGAGAATTTAATGAACGGTAAGTCCACCGTGCTAATTAGATAGCCGCGAGACGAGAATAATATGATAAGATAATTTCAGTGTTAAACTCTGCTCTCTGGCGCGCGCGTTGAAATCACTGCAGCAGAAAGACATTGTGTTTTTCAAGATTTTATCATCGCTGCCAGCTAAGTTAACACCGTTTATCATTCCGCGATTATTAAAATTTCGCAGGCCCCCCGATAAATACAAAAAAAAACTTGTAAAACGACGGTTCCTTTTTTTATTCAAGGGACTGTCGCTGCTCTGTTTTTCGTCCTCTCTCATTCTTAATGACCGGTAGAGCGCTAAGCAACTGGGTCAGCCGAGTCTCGCCGCCGCGGCAATGAGAAGAGAATAAGTGATAGCCATTAAAAACCGGCCTAATTCCCTCATCTCTTTTCTCTCTCTCACAGCCTTGCTGCATTTGCGGCAAAATGCACGTCTCTCTCCGCTGTTTAGCATAAAATGTGAAATTTTCTGCATGTCCGATGAAATTTCTCAGCCAGAGAAAATCGATTAGAATTGAATGGACGAGGGACACTTTGCATATAAATACAAGTGCATATATGCAGGTGTGACACACAAAATGAATGCGGATTTAGGAAGGATTTCGGTTGGTAATTTTTTTGCTGGCAACTTTACCGTTAGGCGTGTTGTATTGTGCCGGTTTAGCACAGTCATGCTTTGTCCCTTAGTGAAATGGGAAAATGCAAGTCAACAAAATGTATGTAATGAAATTTTTTACAAAATAAGGAGAAAATCAACTTGAAATATTTATATTAAATTATTTAATAATTTATTATTTTAAATTTATAACGTAAACTTCTGGAAAATCATATTTATTTAATTAACTGCAAACAATAAATGTCAAATTTTAAAGTTTCTTTTTTTAGAAATATTAGAAATTATTAAAAACTTTTTTTTAAAGTATTTTTAAAAAAAATTATTTATTTCAATAAATCATTAATATGTTATTGAAAATTTGGCCAAATATTAGTCAAACAAGCCCTAAAAAATTATTTAATTAATTTTTTCATGCAATTCATTTTTAAAGATGTAAAATTAAAAATTTTTCACACAAACATGACAATTTAACGGAGCTAAGTAGAAATTTTGGCCAGCTGCCAGCGTGATTTATTTCGCACAAACCGCAGTCGGAGAAATTAAGGAAAAAATTCAAAAGTCGAAGCGTACGCGAGAAGTTTAATTTCACGCTTTCTGACGCGGCGTGAAAAACACATGTAGTATACGAACGAAGCAAATAATAAGAATAAAAGCGAAGGCCACGCGAGAGATCACTGCACACATGTGAAGTGCCGTTATAGCCGGCTGAGAGAAGTATTTACCTTTCTTCCTCTTGGGCGTCCCGCGTTGTCTGGCGCGCGCGTCGACGGCGTCAGCGTCCGAGCCGAGACTCAGCAAAATTATTAAGCAGGCCGCGAGGGCCGCGCGAGTCCAGAGAGCCTTCGCCATGGCTCCTGAGTCTCAAACGGAGCGAACACCAGCACTGACCAGGGCCTGCTGCACTATCCAGTCGACGGGCCGGCCAGCAAATGAATGACTGCACCACTAGACTCACTCTGCCTCTTACAATGTTTCCGGCAAAAACGAGAGAGGCTGCTTTGCACTCTTATTACCTTCAAAAGAAAGAGAGTTGGTGGAGAGGTAGTAGGGAGTTTTCACTCAGTCACTAAGTCAGTCAGTCAGTCGCGCGTTCGCGTGCCTCCTACCCCACTTATTTCGTGCTCCAAAATGGCCTTTCTTCGTGGGGGAAACGCCGCCGAGAGCGAAAGTATGCAATTGCCGCGCCGATGGAAAGCACAAGCGGCAGGTGGGGTGCCGCGCACACCTCCATTCTTGGGGTGGCGCGCCGAAGGTTAGCCTCGCCGTCGCGTCCTTGATTCGAGCCGGACACGCAGCAGCCTCCTTTTCCCATGCTTATGCAACCTGTCAGTCTCTCTCTCTCTCTCGCTCGTGGCAGGGGTTGGGGTCAAACAGTCAAACGTATCAATAACTGCGAGCACTAATTAGAGCACCGTGCCCAAATAAGGAAAAGGATACGAAATTTTTCTCCCGCAGAGTCTAATTATCCCTTACGTCATCCTCCTAAGATAGATATTTTTAATGACAGCACTTTTAATCAATTGAAGTAAAAGTTGAAAAGCGTGGACGAATCGAAAATATTATAAATTTTATTTCCATACTTAATTAATCCGACTTACTTTTCCCTCCCTAGCTGCTATTAATTTTAATAGACATTTTAATTGGACATAAAACGAGAAGGAGCTTTAATTAAACAAACACGTAATAATAACATTTAATAACTGCATGGCATCGTGCCCAAGTGGCATAAGAAATTTCCACTATTAAATTTCCTATTTTATGGACGAATAAAGAGCGATTTTTAATCCGGCCACAAGTGTCAAAGGGCCGTAAAACTTTAAAAGACGCAATATTTTATCCCACTGAGATCTGCTCGCTTATATATTATTATTTGTTTGGCTCCGAAGTTCTCTCTTGCCCAGCCTTATGCAGAGAACACGAGAAATCTTGTTTTGCATCCAATTAAGCGGATTTTTGCGTGAGTCAGTCAGTCTTCGGCATCTCGTAAATTACACACGCGGGGCACAGCAGCCTTGCGTCACATTTCTTCTGGAGAGTGACTGTCGCGAGTGTGGCATACGTTGCAGGCGTTTCTGTTACCGTCACAGACGTTGTTTAATTATTATTGTCCTTATTTAATAACATATTATTTAAAATAAAATTATACAAACAAATTTAATTTTGATTCATTTTAATTTGCTTTTATTTCAAATATTAAATCTTTTATTTTATTTTATTATTAATATATAATTAAATTTTAAAATAAAATTTTAAATATTAAACAATAATTTTATTTATATTTATGCTATTTATTAGGTATTTAAAAAATTAAAAAATTATTTTTAAATATATTTAAAAAAATCTTTGTGATTCAGCTGTCTTGAGCCTCATAGTTAATCTATAATTGAATTAGTTTGTGGAGTTTTCAAAATCATACAAATTTATACAAAAGACAAAAATTAAAAGAAGAGAGAAAAAGAATATTAATAATGATTGATATTTTTTTTTTAACCCAGTAAATATCCTTTTGCAACTTTTGTAGCAATTTTCATCTTCCCTTTACCATTTATTGTAGTCATTTTCAATTTTAACCTTGAGTTAATAATATAAACATAATTATTGGATATGTGAGAAACTTTCAGCTTGAGACAACCTAAAAAATATGTCCAATGTAGTTATCATTCTCCAATTTCACCTAATCCCAATTAAAATTTATTTACTTTTAATTTAATCTTCAGTATTCCCTTTAATCAATAGCATATGAAATTCAGTACATTTAATTTTTCTTCTAAAAAGTCGGAGCAATCAATTGAGGAAACCGGTTGTGAGATATATATAAAATAGGCACGCAATTCTAGTGAAAAACTCACTTCAATTCATAGCTGAGAGGCGATAATTACCCGTCTAATCACCCTAAACTACGGAAGGGAAAAAAATTCAAATTTCTTTAACATGCTCTTTGCAAAACTTTGGTAAATTAATTGACGCACATTAACTGTACCCAAAAAATAATATTAAAATCTTTGGAAATCTGAATTAATTAAGTTTTCAAGTAATATAACAGGCTGATTGAAATTTATCGCCTGTGTCGCAAAATTTTATTACATCTAATTTGTAACCGCGTGTCTGAAACCGGCCAATTGCAAGTTCTATGAATATTAACTAGCTGTATCTATACAAACTAAACACTTTTAATTTAAGATAATAAATGACGCACACATTAGTAAAAAGCAAATTTGCGAGTGTACTCGGAGGGGATTAGAGATTCAAATTAAACATTGAGAAATGATCGGGGCCGGTTAGATCTGGTCGGCAGATAAGTTTTACTTTGCCAAATGAACACGAACCGCACAAATGCTGCTGGTCGGTGGCCTGCAGCAGTTTAAGTAGAGACGTAATTAAATATCACATTGCATGCAAATATAGCCGCTGCTCCAGTTGTGCAAAGAAATTTGTAGCAAATTATTTGGCCACCGTCATGCACTAGGATTATGCAAACCCTTTTTGCTTTTGTCATTGTTTGCTTGCTCGCGTTTGCACTAAAACAATGTACGAAAAAAGCCAGCTCACGATTCATTTCAATTTGGGACTATAATTGACATTTCGCTGCCGCAACCGTGCGGAGGGTCACGTTTCAACCCCGCCCGTCGCTGTTATTTTTTGTTTTGTCTGCTGCAGTGAGAAGAGCTCGCTCGCGGGAGCAAGGTTGAGACCTCTTGCCTCCTGATGCAATTATGACACATTCATTGCGCATTTTCGGTCACGCCGCTTTATCACGCCTACTCCTGAACACCATTATCTCCGAAACAATTAAAAACGACTTGTTAAATTTGCATTTACACGCTATTCCATTATGTGTTCAGCTCGAAATTAGTCCATAGTCGCATTCCAAACAAGTGAATGCGCCAATATTAATCTTTGAAAAATCTCAACTCGCAGCCCTATTTATCATTGGACAAGCTAGAGAGAGTAGAACTTGAATTCTCTTCCGAGAACAGCAGGGGTCGCAGGTTTGCGAATATGTTTAATCACGGTGCCACCTACCGAACTTGTTGATTCCATATATAAGCCTTTTTCACTCTTTTACACACACCACTGATTTTCCTCGTCGTTATGCAAATCGAAATTGCTATTCCGGCGAACCTGCGCTAATTGCGGTCTGCTTGCATGGGTAAATTACTTGTTTTTCAAAGTACGTATATTTAACTTTGCCACGAAAGAGGCTGAAGTTTTCAACAGGTTGGGCAGTGGAAGAGTTATTGCCAGCACCTATACCTCTATCGGTAAGTTGGCAAGGATTAATAGTCAACAGTAAGTGGTTTGGATTTGGAACCGATAGCTCTGCAAGTTGGAAACTAGTTGGGCCGCAAATTATACACAAGAGAGACCGTTTAGGCAACAGCAGGGGTCAAACAAAAGATAGTTGCTGTGTACTCTGATTGTGAGTACTTGGTGTGCGGAAGATTAAGAAAATACATCTGTAATACAATTTGGTTATTATTTAATTATATTTTTATAAACAAGAAAAATGTGTTTATGATTTTATTGTAACATTTAATAATCTTAAAAAAGTCAAAATCTATTTATATATTTTTCCTTCTAAATTACTTAAAATTGCGAATTGAATTTTTAGAAACTGAATTAATTTGAATAAGAAGTTGTACATTTGAAATAACAAGAACAAGAATATTCTAATAATAAAAAAAATCTTTTTTTAGATAAAACAATGAATTGAACCGCTTGTTCGTTGCATACAAATTAATTTTATAAGGAGCAAAATGGAACCAACGTTTGTAACTCGATGAAATTTTATTATTTACTCTCGTTGTATTGATTAAAAAACATTTTCTTAAAAATGTTACGTAAAAATAATTTACTTTTAATAATTCTCAAATATTTTCATATATTTACTTAAAAAATTCTTGCACATATATCAAATCGAATTTAACGGGCGCACTCTCGCTCAATTAAGAGGATTTCCATGTATGAGCAATTCCGTGCTGGAATTTAAATAAGTTGCAAAAAAGCAGTTCGTCGTGTCCAGTGAACTACCGCTGTTTATGATGCGAGAGAATTGGTGCAAAAAACAGCAAGTGCGCGTATTTGCGTATCCGGTAACCTAAATATAAGTTGCTGCAAGAGACTGTTTTAGACCAATTAAAATTTTAAGCCCAAAATTATGACAGCCTTTACAACTGTGCGCCTAATCAATTTCAAATTAAATATAAAAAAAAATTGTAAAAATGTTATTTTAATAAAAATAAATATTTAGCTGCTGCATAAATTTTAGGGAATGGGAGACGCTAAACGAAAATAGTGGTCGAACATAAAGCAAGGACAACTTTTTCTATTTTGCTGATATGGAATGAATCTTCGCTCTTCAGAAGTGGATCTCGAGCAGTTTAATGGCAATAAAAGTGCTCAATGAAGGTCAATAAACTAGGAAAGAGAAATGATGGCCAGCGATTATTGAAGCAGAGTTGATCTCCTCCACTCGACCGAGAGTTGAATTGGAATATTATATAGCTCGGACGCCACGCGTGGATTGGCATCAGGGCTTCCAGTCAATCGCACATCCACCCATTCGCCTCTCTCTAATTATTCGTCGCTCCGTTCCGAAAAAAAAAATATAAATACACATATTCCCACTTTCATAATATATTGCCAATAACGCTGCTCTCTTTTTCTGGGACAGTTTGCAAGGTAAAAAAGAAAAGAATTTTCACGCTAATTTGATATTTGGAAATAGTTTCTAATATCCGCAGAGGAAACGAGTTGCTCAAGTTTAGGAACGATTAAAAATCAATGTAAGTAACTAAATTTCCTCTAAGTGCGCGAAAAAAACTGGTTACAAATATAATCACAGTGTATTTAACAAAAAATTTCTCAACCGCAACACATTTTTGGTAAACGGGTTGGCGCCTAAGTAGCCAGGAGCGATTTGCATAATAAGTATTTTATGTAATACGATTTTTTTGCCCAATTCCGCTCTATACAATTTTAGTTCTAAATTTAAATAAGGTATTATTAGGTGTTTTGCAATTTAAAACTATTTTTTTTCCTCTTTAGAATAAGTTTCACGTTGAAGAGTGGTTTATATCTGCAGACCCAAAATAGATTTGAACGTCCGATTCTGAATAATTCTGCCTCAATTTAATCTCACGAAAGATCTCGTGACGTGTAAATGTTTTTACGAGCGGATTGAGACACTCACTGGCATCCTCGTCTGTCTTTCCAAACGTCGGTCGGATCTCTTTCTGTGCATCTCTCTTTAATTTTTCTCCGGACAGCACAATGCGATCATCATCGTCCCATTGGCCACGCACCGCTCCAAAGAGACGCCGCCGAGATGCCTATTTATCAACATTATTTTCAGAGTTTCTACTTCTACTGCCATATCAGTGTCTCTCTCACTGCTGGGAATATCAAGTTCCACGAGTTCCTACCGTCCTGCGACCGCCTACTGATACACATATTAAAATATTATATTTCTCTACCTAGAAGAAACCTATCTTAATCATAGATTACAACTTTGTTTAATGCAAACAAGTCTATAAATCATCGCCTAAAAGATATGTTTTTTTTTTAGATTTGTTATAAAAGGTTTTTGCACAGTAAACACAAAGTCCTGGAGGCATCCGATTGCGTGCTGCATGAAAGATTTTTCTAGCAGAATTTTTAATAAATTATTTAATTATACAATAGTTCAAGTGCATTACAGAAATAACTAGATCAAAATTTGCGCCACTGAGATATCAATTAATCGATTGCCAAATTTTGAGAAAAATAAACATAATTAATATTTAATTTCACAGGTAAGAAGTAGTTAAAAATTTAAATTAAAAATAGCAAAAGAATTAAATATTTTTTTGTATGTAATTAATTAAATATTTTGAGCACGTGTAATTTACACATTTAATTTTACTTTTATAATTTATAATACCTTTTCTGTTTTATATTATTACTTTTTGCTTTAATTTTTCAATAGTTACATCATCAATTCATTACATTGTTTCATTGAATTGTTGAAACGCAAATAAAATAATGATCAAACATAGTCATACCTATTATAATTTTCTACAGAAGCTATTACAAAAGAATGCGTTGTGATCATCAATTATTTAATAATAAATCTTTTATTTTTTCTGATTTTGAACATTTTGCCAAATAATGCAGCAACATTAAATCTTTGAGATGAGAGATGAGATAAATTTTTATGTATTTATTAAAGACAAAAACACTAAATACTTTTACCTTCATTTTTAAAACACAATATTTAATCTGCATAAAAAGATTTTTTTCCTAGTTTGAGCCTTTGACAAAATCATACAGAATTTGCAATTTCGTTGGTAAAAAACAAAATTTTACATAACTTTGTATTCAAAATTAATTCTTTTTTATAACTTCAAATGAGTCTTAAAAGCGATCATGAAATCCATAAAAAAAAATATCACAGCAGGTTGGTACTTGGTACCCCTTTAATATTCTCATTATGCACTTGAAACGTGTAGGAGAAATTTGCACACAAAAGAAACTTACATGCAGTTTAAACATTTTTCATTCCATAAAAATAGAGTTCTTTTTCTGAGCTCGAAACTTAATTTCACGGCTCATTCATTACAATGGCCGCACAATATATTGACACATGAATTACGGCCTGCTGGGCACGCGCGCGAGTACTTTCTTTCAGATATATTATCTCTTCTTTCTCCTCTCTAATGGTCATCTCTCTTATATACACAGAATAGATTCTCGCCACGAGACGGCAATAAAGCAACCGAGTGTCTCTTGCAGCGAAAAAAATCGAGCAGATTATACGGCCAAGTTAAAAGTGCATGCACTTTCTCGAAGCTGTGTTTAATACATATTTATTTTTACAATAGAGTATATAAAACATTCATTTGTTCCACGCGCCCACATTATATGTTATACACATATTTCATTATATTAATATTCTACAGCATTGGGCATGTAATTTGGTGTGTCCGAGTGCGCATTAGAAGTAACGAGCCTCATGGGCAGACCGTTTTTTATTGGTTTGGCCATCAATAATCTCAAGTCGTGTCTTGTTCTAGAGCATGATTTTTTGCCGCGTGCCCCAAATGGACGCGCATCGTTTGGTTCCATTATTAATTGCGCACATTTAGATTAACATAAGATGGATTATTATCTAAATGCGAGAGACCGAGTTGAGCAAAAAGAGGTGATAAAAAAGCTTCGGCCAGACTAAGGCTCTCTTGCACTTGTAAATACATAAATTTGTAATTGTTACCTTTTATGTTTTGAAATTTGGATAATCTAAAAAAACTGTTTTATTGAAATACTGCTCAAAGGTTCCTTTAAAAAATCTCATAACTTGAGTACAAAAATCTTTTTAGCATACAAGATTCGTGCAAATTATTAATTTTTTGTTATGGAATGTGGTACTCGCTGTGTCTGCTTTAATTGAAATATGTAATAATTATTATTATTATTTAGTAAAAATTATCCATGATAATGTTTTTGTTGAATCTATTCTAGAATATTTGTTGGGATCTATTTCAAATCAGCATAATCTTTTTGAATCAATATAACATCATAATTATAGTTAGTCAGTCACGCTGCAAGGTAGAGCTATCTTTGTTGAATCATCAGATATTAACTTGGAGGTAAGTTTATTATAATTTTTAAATAATTGGTAATACAATAAACAAATGTAAGTAAAATAAACGTTCTGAAAAAATTACAGATATTAAGAATTAAATTAGTAACTGATTATTTATTTATAAAAATTTATCAAATTTCATACTTTAAAAGCAGCAATATGGGAATAATTATAAATTTGAAATAATATTTTTTACTTCTTATAGTTTAAGAGCAAAAAATTAATACAAAATTTATAAAAAAATGACTTAAATGACTGAAAGGTGCTCCTCAAAACATTGGTCAGACACAATTCAAATCTAACACATTAAAGCTTTTAAAAGCAAATCAGCTCGGAGCATTCTGTGGAATTTCGAGCCTCCGTTTTTGCCCACACTATTATACAAATTAAATCTTAAGTGCGTGTGTGTTATTAGGATTGAAAGCGTCGGCCGATGGCGCATTATCGGAGAGAAAAAGACAAAAAGGGCCCTAGGCGCTGGAGATGATCGGAAAGAATACGTGTGCGTTGTATAATATGTATATACCATCTCAAAAAAGAAAGATGGAAAGAATGGACGTGTTGAGACCGACGAGGGCTCCTCGTAGTGGTTCACCTTGCTTCTTTTCTACCACGAAAGAAACGAGGAGCAGAGAGAAGAAACAGAGGAGCACTCGCGCACGCCGCAAAGAAGCGCGCATCCACGGCTTGTTTCCAGAGTTGTCCTCCAGCGTGCGGCGAGCACAGCCACGCAAAGCCGGCTGCGGACCATTTTTTGGAAACTGCGCGAATTTAATTTCTCCTCGATGCCCCGCGGAGGCTTGTAGCAAATCGCAGTTTGTGCTTTTTTCCCTAATAATTAATGCGAGTGTCAAGAATCAGCTCATCCCACTCGCGCCGATGGTGGAGGAAGCTCGAAAGTAAGCAGACCCCTTTTTCCTTTCATTGTCGGCAGGTTTTCTACTTTTCGCACCGAAATTTTTCCCTCTACTTTCACAGCGCGCTCGGGGTTCGGCGAGAGACCCGTTTTTATTTTTTGCCTCCGAAACCTGCTCTTTTTAATATATGAAAGTGAATTGCTGAAAATAGACCTGTTATAGTTTGTATAACGACTCCATTTGTGCTCTTTTCTTTTTCCTTCCACTCGCTGAATTTCAAACAGACGTATAAAAGTTATTCGCCGCAGTAACAACGCAAATCAGTACACTTGTTACATTTCAATTCGGTTGATACAGTAACTAGGTGTTGAGATAACAAAGCAATATATTCGGCATGTTCACTTTCTTTTGTACGCCCTCGTGCTACCGCTTTTGTCAATTGAATGTGGAACTTGCGATCTGGCCACTCTAATGTGATTGACATGACACAAATTTGGCACTTCCTCCTTTGACAAAAACTTGACTGGACTAAAATTATTTTTGTTACACTTGGAATTTTATATTAAAATTGTTAATTTTTTTGTAAAGCAGCGTTCCTTTTGCATCATTGCACCACTAGACAATGCTTGAATTCAAAAACTATTCAGCTCAAATTCATGACTTCTTACTTTTAAATTCTGAACTATTTCACCTTGAACATGTATCTTAAAATTAATATTTAAGTTGAATATAGTTCTATATTCAAAAAAAGTGTCAAACCTTCCCAATTCAAAATAACTACTTTGCACTTTCAGGGGAGTGTTCCTTTCTTGGATTATAATTTGAAACTTTCCTGTTATCTCAGATATTTTAATATTATCAATTATATATTTTTTCCAATACATCTTAACGCGAATGGAAAAAAATTATTATATTTTTAAATTTTACAAGAAAAATCTTTGCAGAAATATAGTTCATTGTCAGCAATTACGATTCAACTTAAAAATTTATAAGAATATATATGTACTATTTTTTAAGCATTTTTACTTGTAATAAGATTTCAATCAAAATTTATACCAAATTTACGTTTATTACATTCAATTTTTGACCATGTTCGTGAGTTCGATCTGGTCATAAATCGACCAGTCGTGCCATTTTCACACACATGCAGTGTGCAATATAATCCCCCAGCTATTTATGCTTCCACTTTTGGCAAACGCACGGCATTGTCCTTATATTTAACCATTGCAGCTGTGCATCGAGAGATTGATTTACAAAAAACGCTCACCTTGAGCTGTGAAACAAAATAATTTTATCTCTGCGGCGCGCGTGCTGCAGTGTTATTTAACAGAGGCCCTAGACAATAAAATTGCACCGGCGTTGTTCCAATTTTGATTCAGTGTCTGCTCATTATAATGTGAGACTCACGACTAACTCTCGCCGCCGAAAATCGCTCACAATGCAGCGTCTGTTTTCAATCGCGATTCGAGCCGAAAGATAATCGAGTCTTAATTTTCTCACCGGCTAATGCAAGGTCGCTCTCATTAGCTGAGTGATATATACGTTTCTGCAGCAAAATACACGCAATCAACAGGTGTGCGTTTGTGTGGGTGAATTTCGCACTTTGCCAAATAATAAAAGTAAAAATGGGGGCCACTTCTTGACGCTTTTATTTCATTAAGTTTCGCAATCTTTCACTTAACGACTGGAGTAATGTCCATTTTTTTATACTCTTAAACAGAGCAAGTGGGCATTTTAATGGCGAAATAATGAGAGGAAATCTAAAATAAATGGTGCGCGTGTTGACGCCTTGTGCAAATTGCGAAACTTTTTGCTACGAGCTATGTTGAGTTAATGGCGTTCGGAATTATATGCGTGTGTGTGCAAAGAGTCGTATAAAAAGTGACTTTTACCGCGCATTAATAGTATTATGAGGGCTAGTGTCACCAAGAGTAATATAAAACCATAATGGGCAGGTGCAATGATGGGAAATTGCGAATAATAGCGAGTAGCAGAAGTGACGAGATCGCAATCTTCGGGTGGGAAATAAAACTCCGCAGGCCGTAAAACACACGTTTCATTTCATTTTCTCTCCAAATGGCATAGAGCTCGTAAAACCAGACCGCAATAAATTAAAATTCACAAAAATGAAGACCTTTATTTGCAAAATATGCGAAATGCTCGCTGCGAAGAATGTCTTTCCTCATTCGTGCAAATTTTATTGGCTCGTAAAGTGCCGAAAATACGAGCCTGTTAATATTTTCACCCGAATTTCAAATCAGAGCTGTCGTTAACACAACAATTATTATTTACTTGTGCAAATAAAACTAACAACCCGAATCTAATTAACGCATACCTCAGAAGTGAGAGAATCGACTTTTTTATATTTTCCATAAACAGAAATCACTTGGCGCGAAGCGAAGCTGCCGAAACCTTGGTTCCACTGGTTCACTAAATTTCATGGTATTTGAAATGAATCTGCTGTAAACAATGTTTGTGTCGGGTGAAAAAATTACGAGCATATCGGTATGCGATGAAATTAATTCTCAGGCAAGGTAAAAGTCTCTGTGAGATCATTCTTATGCAACGCTGACAATGAGCGATACTGTAAAAAAAAATGCAGTGAGAGAGTTTGTTGAACAATATCGCGCAGTGGAATGAATATATCTTTTGCACTGGCCATTTAACACTGGCTGAGGACAATGAGAAATGCGCTTGCTTTTACGCTAGATTAAATATCTGTACAAGTGTGAATCTCCTACGCCTCTTTTTCTAAACATTGCGAAATGAATAAAAGGATTTATGCAATCGCCATTTACTATTAACGAAATTCATGAACCTGTCGGGGATTGATGATGACGAGAAAATCGTGTCTGAACAATTCGATCTGAAATTTGCATATAATTGCCTGCAGAAAAGTGAAGTGCACGCGCTTGCTTGTTTGTTTGACTGTCGTAAAATCTGTCAACAAATGCAGTACGAAGCTGATTTGCCAAGAAAATACGATCGCATTGACATGCATCACACACAAGTATAAAAGCAGATTTTACGACTGTGTACGTATTAAAAGAGCGGCTTTGGAAGTCTCTTTCTCCGGGCTGCGAGATCTTTACCGGCAGATAAATAAATAAACGCGCCACACAATAATAATAAAAAAAGAAGAAGAAAAATCCTCTCTCTCCGCATCAACAGGTTTTGATCTCTCGCGCGTCAATAATGAAGTGTCTTATATTGAAATCAGTCGTAATCGGCCAGAAAAATCATGCATATAATAATTTTCACTCTCTGCGCGCACGATTACTACTTACAAATCCATATCGAGCTCGTCGATTGCAACCTTTGGAAATATTGGATGAATTATGACTGGAGGTGTCAGAAGAATGGAGAGAGTTCAAAAGGGAAAAAACAGAGCAAACTCCTGGGAATGTGCTGCGTGCTGTCTCGCCGCATGAAATATAGGCGCCTTATCTGATGGTGTAACTCCGGGTCTAATTATTACAAATCATTGCTAATTGCTGGTTTGAATGTGCGTACTCTCATCGCACACTCTCGCCGCTTCAAAAGCGGCTCGCAGAAATTTTGAAGTTTCAAATGAATGGGTACAGAGGGTGTGTAATTAAACTAAGATTCTCAATAATAATTTAATTTTTTTCTGCAATTTTGCCATCCTTCAAAACCCCAAAGTATAATTTTGGAGCTTGTGAATGAGATTTCCTTTCTTACATAACCATTTATTAACATTGGCCAAACTTGATCCACCATAAATTCAAAAAACAAATTATTCTGACCATCTTGTTTTAGGCCTATATCAATTAAAAATTCATACCATATGAAATGTTGTCCAGAAAGTTTGTCTTCTCTTCATCTTAATTGCAGACTAGAAAAGTAAATAAATAATAAAATTGGCTTGATGAAGCTTGTCTTCAATTATAAACTTCTCCTCGTGATATGATAATAATTAAATTAATTACGATTTTCGTCGGAGGAAAGAGGCCCCCCCATCTGGCAGAAAGTGTCTCATTCTCTCTTGTACCGAACTTCGCATCTTTCAGCAATTAAAAAGTAAAAATACAGCAGATGAAACGTGCTTCAGAATTAAAGGGCTGCCGCTCAGCAGCGAGCAATAATTATTAATTCGGCTCCCAGCGGCGAAATGGAAAAAAACCTAATGAAAAGATAGGCCACGACCCTGCGTGCCCTTTCTGACCTTTCAGATTGAATGGGTGCTTTCGGAGCGCCCGACAAAAATAACTCTCTCACCACAAAACATGTGGGCCAAATAAAAAAATAAAAATGCGTTGCGTCAGATGGGAGTAATGAGATACGAAGAAAATGGAATTGACAGCAAAAAATGAGCAGAATTCGATCCGAAATGTGTGTAATTTGCTGCGTTTTGCCTCCTGTCTGCTGTTTACTTGACCTGGGTCAATGTGCAATGTGTAATTTGAGAGCAAAAACGGCCAGGGTTGTCCATCAAGAAGGAGCAGTGCGTGCACGCGAGAGCAAGTAGCGAGCCGTAATTACATAAATTTATTTGGCAGCGGCCACAATGCGCAATAAATCCTAAGTGCACACCCAGCAGCAAACGAACGCAGCCTGGTTTTGAAATTTTCTGCAATTATAAACATTAAACATCACTCACTTGAGCGGCGGCAGAAGAAATTAAAAATATTATGCATCTTGCATTAAGATATAATGCCTTTACAGTTTGGAATTGCTTTTTTATTACATTTTTATTACTTTTAAACAGTAAAAAAAAAACTATTAACATTTTTTTCCTTTTTTTATTTACTGAAACATATTTAAACACATAAGAATGTAACATAATTTAATATTTTATAAATTTTTTAAATTACAATTACCATTTTGCATAATTATTTTAATATTTTAAAATCTACATGCATTAATTAGTATTTTTAATAAAACGGTTGTACAAAAAATGATATTCATTCTTTATCTTACATAATTATAAAACAATAATTACTCATAGAATAAAATAATGGTTTTTGCAAGAAGTTTGTAAAGTTGCCGTAAAAAAAAGCTAATTTTCATTCAATTGAAGTAGTGGTCACTAAATTTGTATATTATATAACAATTTTACCTGACTTTAGTTGCAAATTAAGTTTTTATTGACGTACCATAAGGCAATCTTTGCCCAAATCGAGATTCATCATACAAATATTCAAAAGTTGTAATGAAAAGAAAAAAACTACAACAATTGGAGGAAGAATCACTTAATATTTTTTTGTACTTAAAATGATGTATCAAACCATTTGTTTTCATTACAAAAACTATTTTTGAAATAAATATTTCTGAAAATTCGCAGCTTAAATAAAGGAAATTTATTTTTGATACTTCGTTGATTGCATTTTCGTGTTATTTGATGCAAAAAAATTTATTACTTTTTGTAAAGATGTAATATATTTTGCTCTCTCCCATCTCAAAATAATAATTACATTTGAAAAATATTTTTGTTTACATTTTGAATTTCTGTTATTTTTTTTGTCTAAACATTAGCAGGCATTACCTCTTTTTAAATGAATCATTATCAGTTTTCGTAACTAATAAAACTTTGTATCTACTTGCACTCAATTGATAATTTTGTAATGTAGCTTTTTTCTCTTCAGCTCACCTGCCATCAACAGTTCTTGGGGGAATCAAAATATTCTAAATGCGTGTGACCTGAAGATCTTTCGCGAAATTTTGACCCCTCAAGACCTTTTTTGCTTTAGCAACATCTACTGGACACGAACAGAGGTAAGAAAATTGAACTTTCGAGTATCAAATCAAAAGTATTTTATGCGGTGCAATCAACCTTTAATGCGATCTGAGCCATAAAACGCCATCACAGTTTTCTTTTAATGGCAAAATCCAATATTAGCTTTTTTGACACATAAATAAATTTATTGGGAGTGGAAAATTTACGGCGATGAAAAAGGAAGCTGCGAAGGGAGTGTCTCTTCGATATCGTAATGGATAATTTTATGCTCATCTCCAGTTTGCTGAAGACTAGTTGCGAAATCGGTGGACGAGGAATTTCATTGAGGCACTATAATAATATAAAAGGAGAATATCAAAGTGGCACGGCACATGAATTTTATTTCATATTTGATTTGATTCGCGGCGAGCGTTTTACGAGCTGCTTAAAAGCTGCGCGAGTGCTTTCGTGGAAAAGTGGGAATCGCGTTTGTAAAAGCACGCTCATTTTTACTGCATTTAAAGTAACGAGGATCAATAACGAATAAAAGTACACAATATTTTCTCCTTTGCACTCCATTTATTTATTATTTTATTGTCTCGTCAGCGTCGTTATTCACTCTGGAAAGCGCAGTCGGAGCAGCGAAAGACAGAGACGTTTCCTTTTGTCTCCGCCGAGCGGAAAAAAACCAAACTGAACATTCTTGTGTTTAACTCACTTTCGTGTGGATGTACGTGAGTGTTTTTCACTCAATTCGAGCAGTGCACGCGATTTAGCAGATTTGTCAAGGCGGCAGATTTGCAAGTCGTGCGTTCCGAGCAAAATCGGCGGCGATCAGTAAAAGTTTTCTTATGCAACTTTTGAAGTTTCGTGTCTGCAATTCTCACATGTATACAACTTTGTAAAAGGTGCCTTTTTAAAAGGCAGCTTTTTTGACCGCCCGCGAGTGAGAAAAAATAATAACGCTCGCACCTTTCAACATTATACTTTTTGAGGCCTCAGGGTGTGATGTCATTTTTTGCATAACGCTTAACATTCTTCTGCTCCTATACTTATTGTTATAGCTTTTGAATGGCTCCATGCCTTTTTAATTAAAGTTTTTCTGCGGTAATTAATGCAAAGTGTTTTATTTAACGTGCTTCTCATCTCTTAAAAGTTCTATATTTTATGGAATCATTACATTTTACACAATTATGAATTCTAGAACACAAGAATATTATATGTCATAGGATATAATTTGATTATGCACTAGTTATTAGTTTATACACAAAAATATATTTTATACCAGAACTCCCAATAATAATTTCATTAAATTATATTTAAAAGAAATAAATTAAATACAAAACCATTTTAGTTTTTTATCAATCAGAAGATGTCATATGTATGTGAATTACAAAGAAAAAGAAGTGTATCTGGTGCTCCCAGCCCATGCCTCCGGTTTTAATCAAACTCTTCGATGGCTAGATTTATGTCTTGCATATTCCCGTGCGAGAGGCACTTTAATGATAATCCCTCTTTCAAAAATAATTACCTTTCCCGCGGTCAGAAAATCAATTTCGTTTCCATTCACGTGGAGTGCTCCATAGTTTCAATATGATCGCCGATCGATCAATTTAATAAACTGACAAATTCCAAGAATTAATGACTCTGCTCCGATGTAAAAAGGCAATCTATATTCAGCGTGAGATGCATTTTCGTAATCTGATCTCAAAGCAGCGAGTTGTGTGTAGAGAGGGAAGAGATGCCGTCCGTAAAACACGTAATTAATAGCCACACGCTAATAAAGCGAAAAGACTTTAAACTTTAAAACGGTTTTAAATGGCGAGTTTATCAGCCGGGGAAAGAAAAGAGAAACTGCTCAAACGACGACACGTCCGTGTATATCTGAAAGAGAAAAAGTGCAAGAGAGGCTGGCACAGCAGCCGATCGCATTCTTGCCAGCGCCGATCAAACGTAGTAAGGCGTGAAAATTTTCCACTTTGCTAATTATTTTTAGTGAGCAACCGTTTTGCCTGCATAATTTCAATCAAAGACGCCATTCATTCACCGCAAAACCGCAGACTCAACTTTTTACTCACTTCGATTCCTTTTCAATATGATGAATTATTCTAAAACCATAGTTGAAAATGCGACCTTGGATTGTTTGTGTTAACTCAGATGAGAGACGAAATTAAGTTATAGGATGCAACCTGCGTGACTTCGGTGCAAGTGACAGTTGCATAAAGTTGTTACAATATTGATCAATAGTGGAGCTTTATATCAAAATTATTTCATAACTGACCAGAATTGTTATTTACTCTGCAGTAAAACTTGGGGCTGCTTCTGGAGGTAGTTTAACTGTATTTAATAACGAAAAGCGACATATTTTGCAAATTTTAATGAAAGTAAAAATTGTTCTTTATTACTAATTTACTTGTAAACAATAAAAAGCATGGAATAAAATTCAACCAAATTTAAATTCGATAGTAAAATTTTGAAAATACTATTCATTTGTTCAATTAAATTTTCCACATTTCGTTCAATTCAGTAACAAAGAGAAGAGTAACAGTAAACTAACATTTAATTATAAAATAATGCAAAAATTAAAATTAAGCAATTTCAGCCTGACCAGAGCCTGACCTTTTTCATTTTTAAGCCACTCTAAAAATATTTACTAAAAAAGGTTTCTGATGTTCAACCTGAAAATTTTTAGATGAATTTTCGGCTATTGATTAATGTGACTCACAATCAGTATAAAAAAAATCATGAAATTTTAAATAATACTGTTTGTAATAAAATGGATAAAATTTTAAAATTCGCACATATTATCAATAAAGACACTTTGCAACTAATTATACCTCTATAACAGAAAATTTGGAATTCCACTTAATTTGCATTTATAAAGTTTTAAACTTAACTCACTTAACTGTTGAAAAAGAAAGAAAAAAACGCACAGTATAAAATGAAAAAAAAACTTGCTTCATCATCAAACCAATTTTTTTGCAGATGAGTCTTAAAAAAGGGAAATCATGTTAAGAAACCGACGGAGCAAATCGTTTAATTAAAAAGACACTAAAGTGACAAGCTTTGACAATGGAATGTTGAGTCGACGTGAGACAAATGTGCTGCTCTCTGAGCCGGTGAGTTTGGTGACTGTCGTGCGGTATGCACGTTATCAGGGGACTTGTATTGACCGCAATATATGAGCGGCACAAAAGCGCAAAGTAAGTCTCTGATTAAATGGCGAGTGCAGCCGCGCTCTGCCTTTTCAAACCGACAAAGGATAAACAAATGGCCGGGCTGAAAAGATTTGCTCGCCTCGGCTTGGTGAAGATAATGTGCTCGCCGAGAATTAAATGGCTCAATCCAGCCGATTGCACGCCGAACCCCCAGAGCGAGAGGAGTTTGCATGCCAAAATTATTCCTGAAGGAGATAAGAATTGGCCAAAGCTAATGGAACCATTACTGCAAATGTGGCGTTAAATGCTGCACGCGGGCGTGTGTATGAGTTACTCAAACTTTATTTATGGAGTGCAGAATCGGGACCGCATCTCGGCTCGGCCAAGAGAAAGGAAAATATACGCCAATAAATTTTCTGCACTTCGTGAAACAACGGCACACATTTGCACGGCATATCTCAAATTTATTTTCACGTAGAGAAAAAAACAATAAAAAAAGAACATGATAAAATTATAATGCATAAATAAACAAGTTCCATTGGTAAACCTTTGAAGAAAAATTTTTATGGTTGCAAATATCATAGGCTCAGTCATTTTTTTTTAGCAAAAAGACTCGAAAATATGAAAAATGGTGTGCATGTTTAGTCTTTTTTTTTAATTTTTTTAGAGGACAATGAAGGATAAATTTCCCCTTGAAATTGATCCTTAAAAAGGTTAGTTTACTAGGAGAGTCAATTTTTCATTATTATTAAAAGCATATTTTAGAAAATTGATTTTAATTAAATTGACACGCTATTTCAAGCAACAAAAGTAACAAGTAAAATTGTGATGAACAGGGATGCATAACAATTTCTCAATATAAGAACTAGAATCCTGATTATTTATAAAACAGGCATTCTTAATTATAGTCTCAAATATTTGGAATCAGATGACAGAGTTATCCAAGCTGTGTCCTCAGAATTCATTTTACAACAAATTTAAAGAAATTAATAGGACTTTTACTCACCGTTATTGATACATGCCATATTGTATTTCTCCATTACTTATTTTAAGTTTAATTTTAAATGAATTTTTATTGAATTATTGTAACCAGTGAAAAAGAAACTCACTTGCTTTGCTGGTTTTATATAAAAAAAAATAATAATAATCAACGCTTTTTAATGAAAATTCCAAAATAATTGAAAGAAATCGGTTAAAGGTAAATAACAAAAATGTGGTAAAATTAAAAAAAAAAGATTTTAACATTTTTATAAATCAAATTATATATATAATATCTATGTTTTTTAGTCAAACAAAAATTTAAATATTATGTAAAATTGTTAATTTTATGTGTTTATTTTTATAATAATTTTTTACAAAACTTTTAAAATTATATATTTTTTTTAATTTTACTACATGTTTTATTTATTTGCCTTTAACCGATTTCTTTAAATTATTTTGCAATTTTCATTAAAAAGCTTTGATTAATTATTTTTTTTTTATAAAGCCAACAAAGCAAGTGAGTTCTTTTAACACTGGATATAAAAAATCAATAAAAATTCATTTTTATCTATAAAATTTATGACAAAAATTTGACTTATATAAATAATTTGTAAACATATTTCATTTTATATCAGAGGTAGAGAGCAAAATTATGGCGTCATATTTGACCTTTTCCACACATCACGAGGTCGCGAGAAACTGAACCCAAAGTGACGTCTCGCATATTATACATATGCTTATATTAACCCGTGCCCGTTGCAGTTCATTGATCTTTCTATTATGCATCTAGGTGTGTACCCGTCAAGTGTTTTCTCGCGAACTAATCGAGCGCCTCCACGCAAACTGTCATGTATCATGAGCTGAAATCAGCATCATTCTGTCGCTGCGTACACATGAGCGTATATCAGATTATAATGCAA